CTGTCTGGACAGTGTGTACTTGCGTGCATTGTCTAAGAGTGTGTGTGCGTCCTAAGGGTGTTTGTCTGTGTGTATATGTTTGTGCAAGGCTGTTTGTACTGTATTGTGTTTTTATTCCCATGACTTGACCCCCTTGTAGTCTAAAAGGAAGCGGAAACACAATGGGAGCCCCTCCCTTCTCTTTCCTTATTTCTCTCTTCTTCTCTTTGTCACTATATGTCACTCCTCAACAGATTAACTCACTCCTAATTCTCATTTCACAGGAAATAACCTATTTACTCTCTATTACTTCGCTCCTCTCTCTCTTCTTGTTTGCACACACAGAACACGCTCATATCCTTCTTCACGCTTTCTTCTCTCTATCTGCCTCTCTGTTTCTCTGAACTGCACACATGCATGCCTACACACACACACCCATAAACACACACAAACACACATACAAATACACAGTAAGACACAGCTACACGCACTAATAGGCTATGAATGCACATCAACATACCATCAGGAGACTCCCTGCACACTCATGCACACACACTAACCCTTAAAGCCCATTAACTGTCCAGCATGGACGTGGGGTACCATGCCATGCTCCATTCTGCCCCCTGCTGCCTGCGTGCTATACCTGCCAGTAACAGGTGTGGGATTCAATTAGAGCAGCATGCACGCAGCAGTCAGTCCTGAGAGCAGGCCATGACTGTGGTCTGGGCAAAGGCTTGGGCCAGCAGAGCCCTCAGATCCCTGTATCTAAAAAAATAAACAAACAAAAAAACAAACAGCACAAGGACACCACTTTAGAAACAGCTGCCAACCATTGGCAGGGGGTGTTTAGATCATCAAAGTCGTACATTAACCATCAACATGACGCTGTCACATCAAACATGAAAACACCATGGATTGCAGAAGACAACCAAAATGAAAAGTCTAAATTTAGCCCAAAGCTGTCAGCGCTCTCTTTTAATTGCGTTACCAGTCGATCACAAATTGCTGCTAGACACTAATGGGAGATATTTACTGTCATTTTCAGGAAAGTTCTGGTGCTTTTATCATTTTGTACTGCAGCCTCATATTGACAAGTAACAGCTGACCTGTGCCTGGGAAAGGGATTATGGAGATAAATAGTCAATTATTACAGCAGTATTTCCCTGTATGTGTGGCAGTAATTGGCATGCTAGAGTATGATAGCTACAGCCTGGGTTTTAATCCCTGATAAGGTAAGTTTCATTAGCCATCTGGCTAGTTTGTAGGGTAAAGAAGTGTTCTGTCTGCGCTGCCTGGTGACTTCACTGGGATGATCATGACTGCAAGATTTCCATCCTCACCCAAACAGAAATTAATCTATTAATCTAACTATCTCACATAATCCCAGATGGCTCTTACACCAGCTAACCTGCTCTAGCCAGACTAGGATAATGCCTAATCTCAAGATTTACTCGTAATGCTTAATGCCTAATGCCTAATACCTCATTCATACTGTGGTCATAATAGCCTCTTGTACTATATACTCTACCGATAGGGCACAACTGCTCTGGCTTCCTGCTGCTACAATCACCCTTCACAGTTAGAAGGAGAGAGAGGGAGGCAGAGCGAAGGAGAGGCAGAAAGAGCTGGTAAACAGGAAGGCAGCCGGGAAGGCTAGGGAGTGCAGGTCAGAGTTAATGAAGCCCCCTAGGCAGGTTTTGCAGGGTGTGAAGCATGGCCACTGTTTCTGTTTTGGCCTGTGAGTGTGTGAATGTTTGTGTGTGTGTATGTCTGTGTCCTCATGGCCTGTGTGTACAGCCTTGAGGCCATTGATGAGCCCCTTTGACACCGGGCCCACCCAACGACCAGTTCATTAGAATAAACCGAGGCTTGCTGATCGGCAGCCAGCAGGGTTTGTATGGGAAAGGAGGGAAGGGAGAGGGACATGGAGGAGGAAGGCAGAGGATGACACACTGTCTATGCTGCTGTGCAGTGTTATTGTGATGATGAGCCCAATAGAGTATAGACTGCTACCAATTTAGGACAGGGCTTGAAGGTTAGGTGCAATAACGAACAGAATCACATGCTATCTTCAGGGGCGGGCACAATAGTAAGAGTAAATTGTATTGCAGACAACAACTATTTTGCAGCCATGATAGATTGCGCATTCCTTCAGTCTCTTACCTGTATGTTGTACTGATGACTTAGTACATCATCCCTCTTCCTCCAAGGCTATAGATCCAATCCTAAACTTTTATTCTTTTGCTATCAGGAGCTGTAATCTGTTCATTATAGTTATAAATGTTATAGCGGTTACTGTGTGTCTAACAGGATCCTAAATCCAAATTGTTTATCACAGTTAAAGCCAATAGTCAAACATTTATTTAATCTGATGTTATTATTAACAGTATTATATTAAAAAAAACACAGAAAACTAAATTCACAACGGTTAGGTTGTGCTTTCTTATGATGTGTCGTCTTGATAGGTCACACCAGCAAAAGTTAATCAGGTACCACCATGTTTATATCTTTATGCACTGAAACCACTTAAGTAATATCACTCTTTGGAGACATGTCTTTTATGTATGACCCTCTTTATGATAAATTTCAGCTAATCCCATCAGCTGTAGATTTCAGTGGCACTCCAATGCATGTTATAGATTTTGTGACATATTGGCTATCCAGCTACCGTATTTTATGTCACCAGAGGAGTCCAGACTAATTCATAATCTGCTACTGTGCGATTCTGTTCAATTTTGTATTAAAGATAGGTGTGTTTTATTGGATTGCATTACAGATTTACTCTGTCCTTAACTGTACTAATACGTATCAGTTTGACTGTATCATGGAAACAGATGAGTTGGATCTTAGCATGTATATTAATACTTACTTTTCTGGTTGGTCATCCGTTTTGCGACTGTAGAGAACAGGCATGCATGGTTGTGTTTCTTTGTCCTTTATTCTACCTTGAGGCAGAGTGTTCCTGGCTTTGTTTATGGGTCACCTACATACTGAGCCTCTGCATTGCTTTCTGCATGCTGTTTATTTCTCTATTTACAGTAGCATTGTACTTTTGAGGTAGTGTCCTAGTTGCAGTGGGGGGGGCATTATGGCTTTTGTTTAATATTGTGGAGCATCAAGCTTTATTATAATTGCAGTGCCACTCATGTTGTGTCTGACTGAATAAACGATGTATAATTGATATGTAGGTGTGAGGACAGTTGGCATTAGATGTTAGTCAAGAAATTCAATTGGTTCCAGCTGTACTGAAAGTGCCATACGTTTAACCATTGCTCTGAACATTATAATTTTGCAACATATTTTAGTCACACCACAATTCATATTTGCAAAGCAAACACCTCAGGCTTTCGGGAGAAGAGCATTTTGGTTCGACAAATGGAGCAATGACAAGCTACCTGATGAAAGAGGTCTGTATTCAGGAGCAGGTGTTTGTTTATGCTGAGCTGATTAGATTCCTGTTTGGGCTAGCCAGTCTACAATCCACTGTTGGACCCCCTCAGACAGAAATAGGCTAAATCCTAAGTGGCCCATCACTACAGACACCAGACCACATCAACAACAGCCAACGACAGCGAAAGGAGAAAGCTGGATTTCCAAAAGGCTGAAGAACCTCCATCTCATTATTCATGATTTCTCCTTCCTGCCTCCAGACTCCATAGCAATATTCAAAGACAGTTTGGAGCCTAGACTGAATCCATCACTCATAACAGTCAATGTTGACAGTGTAATGTATGCGTCGTTGGTGTGTGCATGTACTGTTGGTGGATGCCGAATGTCTGTGTGTGTGTGTGTGTGTGTATGTGTCTGTCTGTCTGCATCCGTATGTGCTGTATGTCATCTGTGTCCAAATGCTCCTGCAGTGTCCAATTAGTTCAGAGATGCATTCAATCATGAGGTGACCAGCAGGTGTCTGGTTCTGTCGCAACCCCAAGCCAGAGAGCCACATAAATAAGCTGGCAGAGGAGACGTGGGGACTCCTCAGCTGTTTTATTCTGTAGTGCCTCCAACTCTCTCTCTCTCTCTATCTCTCTCTCTCCTCTCGCTCTCTGTCGCCGGTACCACTCTGATGTCAGAGTGGCGAGGATGCCAGCAGCTTTCCTCATAGATCACCTGACACGCCCTGTGGTCCCGGGGCACTCTCTTTGTCAGGCAGGGACACACTGTGTCAGCCAGCCAATTTACACCAGTCCCAAGTGGATGACCTCCACCTGCCTAAAGCAGGCATCCTCTGTGTGTGTGTCTGTGTGCTTGTTTGGTATATGGATTGTTTGTAAGGGTTCCCATGTATTTTTATATGTGCATCTACTGCCTATGTGTTTGGAATAGGGACTCTTTTCTGTGTCTGTATAGTCTGTATGTGTGGTATTTGTGTGGGTGTGTGAAGCTGAATTGCAGTTGCAGAGGAAGGGGAGGCCTGGCCAACCTCACATCTTTACCCCAGGATGCTTTTTTCTTTGAGACATTACTCTTGACTGAGAGCCAAATTTGAGTCCTAATAAAACAAGCTCCACAATTACTGTTTTACCACCCAGTAGCACAGCGGAGAACCAGAGGTCTTTGAAATAGAAAATGCACAATCAAATAAAAAGTAGGCCAAGATAAATTAGATTAGAGACTACATCTAAGCCGCGGCGGCAGCCAGAAATCTCCCATTTATCATATCCAGACACTTTCCGACCACAATGCTGATGTTCTACAAATGAGCTTTTATATGTTCCTTCATTTTAAATCTGATATTGTGCCTCACCTCACTCCCCCCTCTCTCCCATTCTCCTCCTAGTCTTTGTCTCCTTTTCAATTCTCAACTTACTTTTATCTACTCGCATCTTTCTTCCGTCCCTTCCATGTCTCTCTCTCCTTTTCTATATTCCATGGTCTTTGGCCTTTTCCCATTTCCTCTCTCCCTCCCCTGCCATCTCCATGATATCTTTCATTTTTACAATGCTTTGTTTTCATTTTCTATCTCTTCCTTTTTTCCTTCTTCTCCTCCTCTCTGCTCCAACACACCTCCTCTGTGCCAGTCTTTGTGTGTCCGGGGACTCTGCTGCGGGTGCAGGCGGCCAGCTCTCTGCAGGAGGCGGAGCACCAGGCAGGGGCGTGGTGTAAGGACCCGCTGCAGTCTGGGGACCGTCTGTACGTCATGCCCTGGACCCCCTATCGCACCGACATGCTGTATGAGTATGCCTCCTGGGAAGACTTCAAACAAAACCGAGCAACCACCACCTACAAGTGAGAGCGCCTCCCACTGTCCAGGATGATCAAATAGCATCTGCTACTGTATTGATTTATTGGCCTTTGATGTGGATATGGATGGTGATGGCAGAATGGTCCCACTGTGGTGTCAGCTTGCTCACAGTGAGGCCATCTTGTAGGATTGTGTCATGCAGAGTAGATGAATTGACTCGTTCTCCTGGATTTCTGCATCACTCACATGATTCTCTCTCAACAGGTTGCCCAACAGAGTTGATGGCACAGGGTTTGTGGTATACGATGGTGCAGTATTTTACAACAAAGAACGCACACGAAACATAGTCAAGTATGACCTACGGACGCGCATAAAGAGCGGCGAGGCCATTATCACAAACGCCAACTATCATGACACCTCACCCTACCGCTGGGGAGGGAAATCAGACATTGACCTGGCTGTGGATGAGAACGGCCTCTGGGTGATCTACGCCACTGAGGCCAACAACGGACGACTAGTGGTCAGCCAGGTGGGAGAGCAGCGCTGCACAGAAGGGGATGAGTTGTGGATTATAAATGCAGGAGTGGATTATATCAAAATCTCATTTGACTAGTCAGGCGAAAGGTTATATGTCACGCATGAATGACTTACTATTGAGATTACACAAGTGCACTGGCAAATGAGATACAGAGAGCCTGTTGGCCAAAGATCCATAGAAAATCACTTTAAAGAGTTAGGCCTAATTTCAAATCCCATCATATCCAAAAACTTAATCTCCACTAGTAAGGTACATTTTTGATTTGTTTTTGTTACCAGTTTCTTTCTGGCTTCAAAAGATAAAAGGCACTGTTAGGTTGTCCACTCACTTGTATGTCAATAGAACCATATACTGTACATACAGCTTTAAACAAAAAGTGTATCATCTGTAATCCAAAATCAAATCCAAAAATACTTTCCCCTGCTCACTTGAGAAACTCAAAACATAATCCATCTCTGTGAACTATGAAACATTCATATTTTAATACCGGTTGGTTCTTTCTTTCTTAACAAACAAAACTGCAATCAGGCAGCAAGTTTCCACACAGAGTCTGAATTAATGTGTTGTTCAGATAGACGGGTCCCATTTATTATCACTATCTTTGACCTTAACAGGAAATTGTTTTTCAAACTGTATAAGTTAAACTATCCATCTAAAATATCAAACCCTGTATGAGCTATGAGTGTGTAGAATAATGGCGCAACAAAGTAATAAACAAGAAAGTGATCACTTTCATCATCAAGGAATTGTTTGGTTTCTGGGGAGTTTTATTTTCTTCCTACTTCAACAACACATGGGGTTCTCTATTATGTCTCAGCATGCAGTTTGAAGGTATATTGAGCAGAACCAGCTTTGCATTAAGGCAAAGAAATATCTCCTCTCCAAAGCCTAGAGTTTAATTACTTTTTAAATGTTTTAACAGTGTGCTTACAAAGTGCTTATAAATCTTTACGCTATTGTTCAGAAGTCCCATTTGTGCTGCTGTGTAAACAGCATAAGAAATGATTGATCAGATAATTTCTTCTAAAGGGTCCCAGTATGATCATTTATACATTAAATCTCTCACTAAAGTTCAGCATGTCCTCTTTGCCCATAGGTGAACCCTTACACCCTGCGCTTTGAAGGCACGTGGGAGACCAGTTTCGACAAGAGGATGGCATCCAACGCCTTCATGGCGTGTGGTGTGCTTTATGCAGTGCGGTCCGTCTACCAGGACGATGACAGCGAAGCAGGCGGCGACCTGATTATGTATGCCTACAATACCAACCGTGCACGCGAGGAGCCTGTCAACATCCCTTTCCCCAACCCCTATCAGTATATTTCCTCTGTGGACTACAACCCTCGAGACAACCAGCTCTATGTCTGGAACAACTATAATGTGCTGCGTTACGCGCTGGAGTTCGGACCACCAGACCCCACCACGGGTAAGGAGTGATCACAGAAACAAAGTGTGTGTAGAGTCACAAAAAAACCTTAAGGCAAACTTTTAATGAACTTTTAATCTATAATTATGATACATTGTGCATTTGTAAATTGGTAGAAAACTTAAAGGTTATCACAAAAAGTATGCATAATCCCCCAAATTGAGATGTAGACTTTTTAGTATTTGCTGAGCACAAGCTCATTATGTTAACCCTATAGGAGTTAACCAGTTGGTAATAAGGTATTAGTAACATTGATATATTATACCATATTTTTAATTGAAAATTACTATTATGATAGTATGATTTAATTGAAAACATAATATCCTGCTGAGTGTTAATTCTTGACTCTCCAAAGAAAGTAAAACCCTCCACTCTTGACAATACAGTAAATATTATGCTATACAGATCTCACAGTTTTCTTCCAGAAGTTATAACTTTTGTTACAAATTGACAGATTTATTTCAGATAAAATATAGTTCGTACTTGCAATGACTATATTTCCCTTATAATTGTTTCATATTGATGAACAAGAGTGTTATGAATTATGAACATTATTTGATTTGGTTAAAAAGAAAATGCTTTTTGCTTGGAACACACGCCCATGTAGAATGTGTTTGTGACTGTTTCTTATCTGACATTTGGATGCCTCAGATATCAAATCATTGTATTTCCATCCCTAGCCATAGTTACTGTAAAGAGCAGCCTCTCAGGTATGACTGACGTGGCACTTCATATCAGCTTCTCTGTGTCCTGGATAATGAAGAAGTCATTCTGAAATGATAAGGGGAAGAATGAAATGAGAACACCACACTGCATTTTGGCAGTCCATCAATATGAGAGGGAGGTTTGGATGTATTGTATATCTGAGCCGCATCAAGGCCTGTATAAAGCTCGGATTAGGCCCAGCGAGAGCAGAGGCAGAGACACACGGGCGGCAGCACTCAAAGAGTTTTACACTGACTCTGCGTTTGATCAGTTAGGATTTTGTAGTTGTGACGTGTTGCTTTTATCTTCGCATTAGGTTTGGTTGTTAGTGATGGTGACTTCTCTGATACATTTGATCAATTATTTACTTCCCCCCCGACTTGTGATGATGCTTTCTCTCCATATCCTCCCCTACTTCTCCTCGTCTCTCTGGAGAAGAGGCTCAAAAAAGTATTTGTCACCCCAATTATTGTCAGGCTAACTTTTGAACTCAACTTCTGAGAGACATCTTACATTCACGCATGTGTCCTTCACTCTCTTGATCTCTCTCTTTTTTTTTTGGCTTTTGCTGTCGGGTTTTACTGCTCTCTAACAAATCCCTTACATCCTCTTATGACTCTCTAAATGTCTCTCATTCAGTCTGGGTCTCATTCGTAGTCTGTAACTCTGCCTTCTCTCTGTATTATTCTCGGGTTACCTCAGGTCCTCTGACCACCACCCAAGTGTCCACCACTCTTCCAGCCAGGCCCTTTACCTCCAGTGCCAGCCCCTCTACCGCCCGCCCTCTGGCCCCCACCTCACGTCCAATTGGCTCTATCAACAAGCATCCCGATCTTCGACCAATCACAGCCACTGTTCCCGTCACTCGCCGCCCACCCCGCCCTCCTCAAGGCCCGGAGCCCAATGTCTGTGAGGCCAAGCTGGTCCGAGGTGTCCAGTGGCCCACCACACAGAGAGGAGAAACAGTAGACCGCCCATGTCCCAAAGGATCTCTTGGTGAGGATATCTGCATGTGTGTATTTTTAAACTTGTGTGCATTTTTTCCACTCCATGAAACAAACAACGTGGGTGTTTTATGTTGAAGTGTACTCAAACAGTATGTCCTACATGCATGTGGGTGCTCGTGCGTGCAATATATCTCCGTGCATGTGCCCGAGTGATCAGCATGTTTGTGCTCTTTTTTTCCGCTGTTGTCATCTTCTGTCCCTGCGTTGGTTCCACCAGCAGGCGCAGTCCCAGTGGATTCGCAGATGAAAGCCTGTCCTCCACAAATGAAAGGCTCATCTCCCGCAGAAACAGAGCTGATTGAAAGTGACGAATAATGAAATGAAAGGCTAGACAACACAGGCTTCACCTCCCTTCATGCTAGTTTCTATACCTCTAAACATGCAGCCATCAAAAAGCTCTCCTTAGTCACAGAAAGACATTTCCCTCCATCTTCCTCTCCAACGCCTTACGCTGTTTCTGTATGTGCTTTCTGTGAAAAAGGCAGTGACATTAAATTAACAGCTGGCTTAATTGCCGCGTCTTGGCAGAGTTCTCAAACCCAATCTGTGGTCGATAGAGGAGAGTATAGAGCAAAGTGGGAAAGAGGAAAAAAATCAGTGGGAGAGAGAGAGAGAGAGAAAAAGGGAGTGTGAACGCAACGCCACATCTGCTCTGATCCTTCTACAACTGTGAAGCGTTGCTGCATTGTATCTGTCGTCTCTGCTCTTCCGTTCTGCTTCTATCCCTCGCTTTCTCTCTCTCTTTGGTTTTCTCTGTCTTGTCTTTGTGTTGTCTCGATGTTGGTTATTTGTGTTAGCAGCGGCAGATAGACCCTTCTTGGTTTTATCCCCACATGGTGTCCTTTCTCTGAACCTTCGTAACTAAACAGAAAAACCTAGCTGTAAATGAAGGTTGGAGGAAGGTGCTTCCATTCAGGTGTTTTTATTTGACAGTGAGGGATCATGCCTGATGCCTTTGGTGTCTGTGTGCGCACAGTAAATGTTATGTGGTGTGTCTGCACATGTTCGATTCAAACCGTTTCTTTTAGAGCATGAAAGCCTGTTCCACCCCTGCCATCTTCTTCCCTCTTTCTCACTGCCCTACACTCCATTATTTAACCTTTTCCACTTCTGACCCATTTTCTCTCAGACTTTTTACTCTACCTCCTCCATTTTTCTTCCCTCTCATCTTCAAACATTTTGAGTATTAAATTTTTAAAATTCATTTCATTCAATTCTTGGGTAAAAAAAAAAAAAATCGCACTTTTTTATGGTCATCCCTTTCCTCCACAATTTCCCCTTTAATTGCAGACACCTAACGCTTATTATCTCTCCGTAATTTCCCCTTCCACTGTTTCTTCTCCCTCTGCTCGTCTCCAGGCATCGCTTCGTTCCAGTGCTTGGCGGAGCAGGTCGCGTGGAACCCGCGGGGTCCTGACCTGAGTAACTGCACCTCCCCGTGGGTCAACCAGGTGGCCCAGAAGGTGAGACCTGGAGCCGTACCCCCTGGCCATGGGTCTGTCCCCTTCCTCTGCCCCACTGCCCCGACCATCCTCCCTGTCCACGTCTACACACACATTAACATATCTCTGAGGCTGGCCTGATTAAAATACAGGCTCATTTCAACTAGCCCTTCATTACAAGGCATCTGCTCTTGATACTTAATTAACTCTCTTTTTTCACTAATATACTTTAATTACAGCTAGGTTAAATTATTTTTATAGATCAGGCTTAGGGCCTCACAACTTGCAAAGTACTCTGCCACTTAAACTTCTCCAGTCTCATAATGCATTATACCTGTACAGTAACTAAACATCATGGTCACTATAATGCACAATGTTTTTAACCAGCCCACGGCTATTTAAATTGCCAAACTGTGTTACTATATACACTGTAGTAATCTGATCAATCCCCAGTTTTGGCAGTAATCAGATTTCAGAAAAGTCAATATACATGTGTGAATTAAAATTAAACAAGTTTATGTGGCTACATTTCTACAGGAGAAAACATTGAGTATTTAGCTGTGCATACCCTTGACTGTCTTTTTTAAAGGTTTTTTAAGTGTGTGCATGTGCCTGGAAGGAAAAGTAACATCATGTTGAAAAGTAACATTGTTAGAAGAATCCATTATACCTTCTGCTTTTGGCAAAAATCAATTGCAATTGCAAAGTGGTTGCTAACAGTGTGATTTGGAAGTGAAGCAGCAGTAGAGAGAATAAAAACCTCAAAATGTATTCTGCAAGGTCTATCTTTGTTAACAATGATGGAAGGGGAGCTTATAATAAAGATCGTTTTGGAGGTGGTCTGGGGAAATTTGATTTCTGAACAAACAGCATCAGAACAAGTTTTTTGTAAATATTGAGACAAACTCAAAACATGTGATTCTTGTAATGTTTGCAGATCTGTTTTTATCATCCTTATACTATGCATGTGTGTAAACGTGTGCGTTTCTGTGCAGATAAAGAGCGGTGAGAATGCTGCCAACATAGCTGGAGAGCTGGTGAACCACACACGGGGTCGGATCCAGGCTGGAGATGTCAGCTCGTCCGTGCGACTCATTGAGCAACTGCTGGACATATTGGATGCCCAGCTTCAGGCCCTGAGGCCAGGAAACAAGGAGACAGTTGCACGAAACTACAACAAGGTAGAAGAAAGTGTAAACACACTCACAAGTACACACACACCAATGCCTAGATTTAATTTAGGCATTAGAAAAGGACACTCAGGTTAATGCGAATTTACCCCCCAGTGCACATGCAAGGACGAGTGCGTTTTTAATTTACAGGTTTTTTTGTTTAACTGTTCAATTCCTGGCTTTGTTTTCTCCCTTCCAGCTCCAGAAGCGAGAGCGGACCTGTCGAGCCTACATTCAGGTAGCTTTTCTCTTTTATCTGCCTGCTTTACATGCCTGTAGAGTAGGACTGCTCTGTGACTTGGAATAACTGAGGGAAGATAAATCCTTGAGTAGACTAGGGTTGTGGATGAGATCCCTTTGGCTCAGTGCTCTCTATTATGATTTATATTGCCTTTGGAATCATCACTTATAGAATTTCTGGTTTGTGCTGAAGAGCAGTATGAATAAGTTTTAGTATAACTACTGGCAGACAGCATGTAGGGTATTTAAATGTTGGTGTAGTATATTCCAGAACAGCGAAAGCTGATTTGTAGATTTTCTATTGCTTATGGTGTACATATCTTTGAAATATTATAAGGAGTTCGGTCTAGAC